GGTCTTGTGGGAGTGGCCCCTGCCATGGCAGGGAGGTTGGAACTGGATGATCTTTGAGGTCCCTTCCAACCCAAACCATTCAATGACTCTATGATTGTTGGTCTTCCAACCAGCCACACAAATTTGATTCTTGGAGGGCCCCTTGGTAACACAGAATTCTGTCTCCCCTGATCTCCTTTCACATAGTTAAGCTCCATGATGGTAGATGAAACCAGCAGATTTTTGTATTAACATCATAAAAAGTTGTTTAAATTAGCATGCTATTTAAACAATTATATTGTATTGGAATAATTTTAATTTAAAATTATATTTACATTCATGTTTGCTGAAATACTAAGAAAGTCAAGACACAACTGTTGGAGGTCACTGGTGGCCAACCACAGAGCAGTGCTACCTTCCTTCCCAGGGCTGCAGCCTCTTTTACACTTGAACAGCAGAGGTGGGATTTTTGGCTTTTCAAAGCTTAGAAGCGTATTGAAATCTGAATAAAAAAGGTTAGCTGGAAACTCCGTCTGTAAGGTACTCAAAATTGAGGTCTCCTACATCTAAAATGTTGAAAGTGTATGTAACCTAGAAATCATCCGTACAGTTTACATATTGCAGATAATAGTTTCCTTGGAAAAGTAAACTTGAAAACAAGTTTAGGTGCAGAACATCTTGTATAGAGGAGATAGTTTAGTTTTTATCATGTATCAAGATAGGGCCAGTTGATTAGAAAGTTATTTTTAAAAGCTGCTTTGTGCATTTTTAATTGATCTCCCATTTTCTAATCCTAATTCTTAACGTGGCTTGATTTAAAAGTTTGTTAAAATGAATTATTTCATACATTATAAAAGTAGTCTTGGTGTTTTCCAGTACCACAAAGCAAAGAAATTACAAATCCAAATTAACACATGTTTGGCTGTATATTGTCCTTCCCTGCTGAGCTGAGGAGCAGTCTTATCTCAGCACTGTAACTCTCACTCTTCTGAAGAAGACAAGTAAAACATGGGCGTAAACAAAACTGAAAACAGTAAAGTTGATCAGGATCTTGTGCTGATTGATGTATACTCTGATCAGAATAGTGGAGGTTTTTAATTTTGGAGTCTGCTGGCCTGACCAGAACCGCTCCCGAAGCTCACAGTGATGTGAAGAGAGAGAACTGGAGCTATTATTCTCGTCACACCACTGCCTGTGTTTTGTATGCATGGTTTAAAGGAGGATCATATATCTTGGAGCTCATTTAATGTCACTTTCCTGGTGGTCGTATTTTAGAAAAACTGCTGTCGAGCACTTTGTGTGCTGTTGACTATTCCAGAGGCGAACACAGAGAGGTAATCTTTGTTCTGATTGAACTGCTGTAGAAGGCTGGAGCCTTTTTGTTGGAGTGGTGTTTATAATACATGTTTCTGTCTAATATTGCTTGAGAAGTACCCTGACATTGATGGTTCCTCCTTGGCACTATCCAGTTGTAGTGGGACACCAGCAGAGGTAGGAGGAAGGTGTAAGAGCCTAACCCTGGGGATAGACGTGTCCCACTTCCAGGGGGATCCCATAGGCATCGTGTCCCACTTCCAGGACCTCTGTAGAGCACGGAGCACTGCCACGATATTACGTTGGGAACCTCTATCAGACAGCAGGTCCCCCCAGCCTTCATAAAATGCACACCTTGCCCAAACATGAGCTAGAGCAAAGAAGTGCTGTGCTAGTGGGGACAGCCAGACATAGCCCTGCAGCTGTTTAGTATCATTAGTCTACGTATCATAAACTCCGCCTTGAGGCTGGTACCAACCAGTGTTGTCTGTGGGCTGGAACAGGGAGAAAAATCTGAACTCCCTTTCCAACTGCGCCCACCTCTGCTCTGAGGTTCCCCCTTCAGCTCCCTATGCCTCTGTAAAATGGAGCTCCTAAAAATGGAGCTCCTATCCACCAAAGAGGGTATGCAGGGACTTAATTAATGTTTGCAAAGTGTTTTGAGATTCCTGGTGACAAGTGTCATGCAAGCGTGAATGGAACTGATTAGTATAGCATGTGAGCAAACGTCTGCTGATCCACAAATTAACACCTGGCTAATAGCACATGCAGCAGTGAACTGACATCCCTTATTTAAGTAAATGTGATCCTTGGTGAATTTTTTTTTTTTTAATACTTGGCTGTTGCTAGAACAGACTGCTTACTACTTCTGGGTCCAACTTTAATTTTTCAGGCTGATCAATCACCATTAGTGCTTTACAGTTCAGCTAGTTCTACTCTAAATAGTATAAAACACAAAGTATTATCATCTTCATTAGATAAACCATTGAAGCATTTTAAATGCAAGTACTGTATAAAATATAATAAGTTCATTATAATGGCTTACGTTTTTCCATTATCAGATCCAGTCTGAACTAATTGTTTAGCAAATTTTATTACAGCTGGTCTTTATTTTAACTGAGCAGTCTCATGGAAGCCCTATAGATGCTTAGCCAGGGTATCTTTCCCACTGATTTGGATTCAGGGGGCTAAAGAGGAAGTTTGCCTTATGAAGGGCATGTTGTCGACTACCTGTTTGATGGTTTCTTGTATTTTTCCATAAAGTGTCCAAGACAGGCTGTTTCCTGAGACAGCAGCGAACAAGAGAGGCCAGCATTCTGGTTTGGTACGGCCATCCTCCTCTCCCTTCAAACCAGAACACGTTATGTCGTATACTAAATGTTATCCTTTGCATTGAACAGGAGGGGCTGTCTCTGTGCAGATGCCCAGTTAAGAATATAAGCCTCTGAGTTTCGTAAGCATAAATTTTGTATACTAACCGCTGGACCACGCTGCTTTGTGATCCCTTCCTCTTTGTGGCTGTAGGTTGGCTGTCTCGGCATCTGCCCGTGTATATCCGGTTGTTACGAGGTGATCCGCAATAGGGTGTTGCCACAGTGTTAGTAGATTTACTCCAGACTTTAAAATATCCTCTGTACAACTTTCTGAACAAATTTTAAAAGCCTGGGTGCCAGGTTGAATGCCAGCAGGGGCACATCTGAGAAAGCAGCAGTCCTCATTGTCTCTGCGTGCCACTCAGCAAAGACTGATACCACTGGAGACTGGTGCCACTGGTCTCTGTTAGGGATCAGAGTATATTTACAGTGTAGCCACAGAGTCAAGGCTAATAGAAACTTACTTCAATCACCAAGGACAATTCCCCACTTTTCTCCATTACCTGGAGATACATTCTCCTCTTCCCAGAAGAGAAGCTCCTGAAAGCATCCAACACTAAATGCTTCTTATGGTAGGTTAAAGGCTTTTACAGGCAATTTGCTTCAGTGCAATGGTGGACAACTATCCACATTGTTTGGCCTTTCGTTGCTTATGACTTCCCAAAAAAGACCTTGAATGCTTTGTTTGTTTCCTTAAGCGCAGTATGCTTTCAGCCAGCGTGTGCTGGAATTACAGTTATCGCCCTAGACCTGTACAGCGGTCTTGGCAATAGCTGGCCTTAATCCTTTCTTCAGTATCTTAAATTATGGAGGAGTTCACTGACCTAGTAGATATAACAATAAATTAAATTCCTTTAAACAAATTGATCAAAGAAACTTGACCAATTTCCATAAATCTTCGGAAATTGGTTTGAATTAGCCTTTGATTTAGCATTGGTTTAATATACAAAAAAAATCCTATTCTTCTTATGCATTTGGCAGCTCTGCTGCTTCCTGCCTTGGTTCACGTTGCTAAGGAAGATTTATTTCCCAGAAGTTAGCCATCTCTCTTACAGCCTGTGACATTACAGTTCACTTCTTCCCTTGACAACGCTGCCCAGCTAACTTGCAATGTCTGTGAAGAGCAGAATGGATGGATTTTACTTTGGTGTAAAACATCTTAAATACTTCCGTGTAGGGGATTTCAAAGAGCTCTGCAGAGTCAGCTAATGTACCCTTGCCAGTACGCTCGGAAGGCAAGTGGGGTGTCTGAGTTGAAGGCAAGGAAGCTGATGCAGGGACACATGCTCTTGTAAGAGACTGGACAAAAATGGGTGTAGAGCCAGCCTTTGTTCATGGTCTGGTACCTGTATTTTCATCACAAGGTTGTGGCTTGCCTTTTTTTCTTCAGATTCCTAGGATATGCAAAATAGACACTGACCCAAGATCCCAGTCATCTCTACTAACTCTAGTGGTGCGTTTCATGTTGACATGTCAGGTCAGCCAGCCAGCATCTTTCGTCAGTGGTGAAAATACCACAAGAGTTGCTATAACACCTTCATCACAGCTACTTCTTTGATGAAAGGGCTGAATAGGAACAACAACAAAGAGAGCTGAAGGAGAGTAGTCTTCGGGGTGAGGCGCAATGGGCAGCGTGGTTCTGCTCCTCAACAGGCTGCAAGTCTTGCTCCTCACTTTGAAGCACCCAGGCATATTTAAAATAAAAACGAAAAAAGAGAAGAATCTTAACATCTGGAGAATATAAATGGGAATAAAAACTGGTGGTCCATCAGGAAGTTCGGGAAATGCCCACACCCCACTGATCTTTGCAGGTTGCTGCCGGCCCCTCTGAAGGACGCGGTGGAGGTGTCTATGTGGAGGAAGTGCTACACCATGCCAGAAGTGAACGCCGCGCTCAGTAAGATCCAGCTGGTGGGGTATTCTCAGAAAATTGTGAGTACCTCTAAAGCTGTCCTCAGGTCAGCAGTGACAACTTGTTGTTTCCCAGCTTTTCTCTGGAAATGTCCTTCCTTCACTTTTTTCCCCTCTAGATCCTGTGTAAGATCTAGTTACTGTAGCCTAGGAAAGCAAGACGAGATTATATTGAATGCCCATCAGTCTGCCTCCCAGGGAGGGTTCTTGTTTGGTGAAATCAGGGAGTATCCATTTGTTTCTCCTCTTCCTCAGGGAGGCCAATTTTAAGGTGGAGTACCTTCAAATTCGGAGTTGATGGCTGGCCCACTGAGAGCTGGGAGGATGTACCAAATGAATGTATCCTCTCTCTCTGTAAGCCACATCCCCTTCTGAGTTACCGTATCTCACTTCTGGGAATCTTTTGAGTGCTTTAGCCTCCACTTTCTTTTGTACTGCAAATTAGGGATTGTAAACAAAACCTAATGGTTCGACATGAACTTCAAAAACTCCTTTCCCGGGGTTCCCAGCTAACATTAGTTGTCTGTAACACTTTGACTATAATCCAGTGTAGTTTCTAGAGTGAACTGAACCACCAATTCAGTGGTTTGCAGATACGCTGTTCCCTTACGGCTGGTGGGCAGCGTGTGGGCCATGATACCTGCTGTTATTGCTCAGTGCTGTAAGAAATGAGAAGGTGGGTTAAAGTGAAGTTGCCTGCCCAAAGCTTTTTATTTGCTCCCTTTTCTTAAGCAGTGGGACAAACTTTGGAGGCTGTTGTTCGTGTGTGAGACGGTTTGAAACAGTAACCAGTGATGCTGTGTACTAAATTTAGTAGATTTGGGTTTGTGTGGTTCTGCAGCTGGTGAATAAAGACCCCACCCCACCACTGAGATGGCTGCTGAGATAAGGAATAGCTGCAGCTTTGTCTAGCAGCTGGACAGTTTGAGGGCATTTGGACTCCTCGGTATCCGTGGGTGGTTACAGTGCATTTTCAGCTCTCCTCAGTGTGGATGCATCTTGCCTAATTTTAGATCTGTGCATCTCAGCCAATCGTTCTTTTATAGTTACCGGGAAAAGAGACGTATTTTATCTCTTCCCAAAGCTCATCAAACCCTAATTAGCCAGTTAACCCAAAACTGGGTGACAGCATCGAGAATGGTTTGTTGCCCATTTTCCTTGTCTGCGTATCAGCAGAATCTAGAGCCTTGGTTCACACACGCTGGGGGATGGAGACTCTGCCTTGTTTTGCAAGGCATCCAAATATGTATTGAGATACTAGAAAAATCATTAGTATTGCATGAATCAGATGCATGTTCTATTATTCAGTAACCAGAAGGCAGATCACATTAATGAGGTATACATGGAGGCTTATTTTCCTTTCTCAAAACAAGTATAACACATTACTGTATACAGATGAAGCAATGCGCTTTCTAATGACACTTGGAAGGGAGACAACTGTCAGGTTGCTTATGCTTTAGAGCTGAAACTGAAATTTTGATTGGGTTGACAGGGTATTGTTTCCACATCACCAGTAGATAGCATTTTAAAAGAAATAGTTAGGAAGCGAGTGAGTTTGAAGTTAGATTTGTTTTCCACAGCAAAATGTGTGACCAAGACAGAATTTTCTATCAGTACAGAACTACTTGGCCTTCCTTCTCTCCTGCTGGCCAGGTCTTCAAAGATGTAAAGGTCCTACAAGCTTCTTCAATATAGCAAAGGCAGGCAGAGGGTCAAGAACCCCGTTGATTCCTCCATTTAGAGTTACGGTGCAGTGTGAACTCAGTTAGACACCATAGAATTCACATGGAAGAGAGACTTTATAAAGGCCCTGCCTCGGGAAAAGCTTTTCTCAGAGCATGTGTCCTGTTAGACGTGGGTAAATTAAAACAGCAGACATAAAGCTCAGGAAACTAGCTTCCTAAAGGCTTTGAATAGCAGAACTACTTTTAAAATTAGTATCACTGATGATAAAATGACCTGTTGTGACTTCTCTCGTGGGCTCGCTCAAGCTAATGTCTCTTGCTCTGTGTTTCAGGAGCTGTTTGGTGCTGTGCAGGTCACCCCTCTCAGCTCAGGCTACGCTCTTGGAAGTTCCAATTGGATTATCCAGTCGCACTATGAAAAGGTTTCCTATGTTTCAGGATCTTCTCTGCTTACAACACACCCTCAGGTACAGCCCCTGACTTTTGTTGGTCTTCTGTAGGAGCAAGTGTCTTTGCCCCCCAAAAAAATAGAGGGGCTTATTCCAGCTGGGATCAGGTGTAGTATAGAAGCTGTACTAAGGTACGTCTGTTAGTAATTGTCTAGACTTCACGGGCATTGAGAAGACGTGCTCCCTTGATAAGTGAACAGGTATTGATAGTTACTAGGTAAAGATCACTAAAATTCTTTGTTATCAGTGACTCGATGTTAACTTACCAGCTGGGAAATTCTCCTTCACCTCAAAAAGGAAATTTTCAACAGAGCTAAACAATAGAGCATTAGTGGCTTTTTTTAAAACCCGTATTTCACTGCAGAGTCCTTACAGACAGTTCACAGACTGCTTCTATATCACTTCTGAAACATCCTTCCTTGGGAGAAATGATAGCTAACTGGCTGCCAACTTTTCCACCCTGCTCTGCTGAGGGCAAAGTCTTTATAGTGCTGTAGATGTAATTTCCAGTAAATTAATTCTCTCTAGATCCATAAATTCTTAGTGCAAAGAATGGCTTGAAGTTTGCAGTACTGTGGGCTTCAGAAGTTGTCAAAATAGTTAAAAGCAATATTAGCGGGAGGTATTTAAAAATAATTTAGAAAATGTGTCAGGTTCATGATCAGTAAGTGATTTCCCCCACGGTGAGTATCTTCTAAAGAGCTGTGCTTCTGAGCATGCTTCATTTAAAAGCTCAATCTCATGATCTGAACAACTGCAGTAGATAAACCGCCCTTAACAGCACGGCTGTACGTAGCTACGTGCGACGTATCAGAGGCTCTGAGGCCCTTTTTCTCATCAGCCTCGTGCTGGGCTGGGCTGCGCTCGGGCGTCACCTTCCACCGAAGGAGCAGCAGCAGCATTTGACAGCGTCTGAACGGAATGTTTCTGTGAGGAGAAGCTTTGCCCTAGGAGAAGTAGTTTGGTAACTGAGAGGGTTTTCTTTTCATTTCCATGAAACGATGATCAGGTTAGACTGCCCGTGCTTCGTCATTTTCCAATGGTGAACTTAACTCTGGAAACTTCTGGTAAAGTCCCTGTTTTTAAGGAAATGTCCTCCGTGTGGCAGGGAGTGGTGAGTGAATTTACAGCCTGGTGAGAGCACAGGCCGTGGGCAGCAGATCTGCATTCACTCACTGCAGCCTGCAGGAGTGGTACCAGTCCGACAGGGCAGTTTCAGCTTTCACAAGTGCAGGAAGATGTGCTGCAAGCCTGCCTGAAACCCTAGGGACCTCCTGTGTTCACTAACGAGAGATGAAACTTGGACTGTTCCCTCTGCTGGCAGTGTTGCTTGTCCCATGTGCTCTCCAAAAGCCTCATTTTTTGGCATACAGTCCTTTGCACTTTGCTCTATTTTATACTAACACATAGTTTGAAGGAATAGCTTATCAGATAGTTGAAACTGCATTCAGTTTGCCTTTTGCTTGTAATTTACCACATCACAAATATTACCAGATGTCATTTGCATATCAGATATCATCATCATCATCTCATATTCTCTCCCAGATGGTTGTTGAAGACAATGGATAGTTTTTGTCCTAGTGTTAATCCCTGTGAACACCAGTACAAGCTCCTACAGTATGGTGATTCTGTCATGACTAGTGGTTTTTGTGAGCTGCCAACCAGCTCTTCATCTCTTTGATGTTTGACAGACAATATGTAATGATAACAATATCTTGAGTGGCAGAGAGGCAGAACTGTGTTCCACAAATCAGCATTTTTTCATCAGGGAGTGAAAAGCTGATTGTCTGACCTGTGTCTCCGTGGAATCGTGGTGAGCAGTCGTAATGAAATCCCTGTCTTTTAACAGTGTAGGAAAACAGTCACTGTGTTTTGTTTTAAAAATTATATCCAGTTAGTCAGCATAGGTTTATGTAAATGCATATCCAGAGCTTTTTGAATAATAGTAAAACCTTAGCACTTTTTTAGCCTTCTGGAACTCCATAGTCATTAAAAACGGGCGTCAGTTGACCAGGCTCTCATCAGCCATTTGTTTGTTTAGGGTGATAAGACACAGGTTATATGGGCGCACAAATGGCAAAATGCTTCCTCCTTCTCTTACATCTGGTCTACTACAGCCTGGAAAGCGTTTCCTTCTCTCAGGGTGCAAACAGGATAAGGTTCATCTCACCTAACTGAGACTGGGCCCCCACCCAATCCTTCCCTCCTCCTTCCTTCTGCCAGCACTGGGATTTAAGTGCTGACACAGTGGAGACGGCAGCACGGGTGGGAATTAGCAGTCATGGAAAGAGAGTGGGATTGCTTCTGTGCTATAAATTACAGCTTAAAATGTTCTTGAAATTTGAAGTTACATCTAGGTTACATCTATAATCAGCAGAGAGTTTGGTACCTCTGTAATAATCAGTCCGTCTCAGATAGAAAGTGAAGCAGTTAGCTTAGCTTAGCCGTGGCCCAGGATGTACAGATGAGCTGGAACTGGGTGCAGTGAG